TGTATGCTTTGCTTTTGCTCACAAAAGTTCATTCACTCTTCTGTAGTATGTTGAAACTTTTAAATGGAAACGGCTTTTCGCTAACAAAGGAAGCATTTTCTTCCCCTTCCATGTTTTAGCTCTCTCCACTAAGTCTTGGCTTCTTGAGCAGCTGAGCCTCCACCAGAAATGACAAAAGGTGCAATTGTGCTCAGAGATGGCGGTGAAGATAATGCCTGCCAGTGGACTTGTGTGTGGGCTGCTGGGACGGTTTTTCTTCTGTGTCTGGATTTTTATTTTTGTTACACAGAAAGTGGAACACGCCTTAAAAATACCCTTCCTGACCTTCCAAAGGCTTAAAAAAACAAAACCTTTATCCTAGGTGAGCTATTTCTTTCCATTAAGTTCTTCTGTCCCATCAACAACAGATGAGAGAAAACCCACTGAGAATGGAGGGAATGGAGCGCTATACAGAGAACTGTGATTCATTGATTCATGTCTCTCGACGCAGGCCTGGCCAGTTTCCTTGTGCCCGCCCGCCATTACCCTGACTTGAGCAATGCAAGGCCTTTGTATTTCCAGTTGTCTTTGCTGAGTTGTCACTTCCAGCCAGCATGAGCAGCCTGGAGTTTATTTCCTTATTTAATTGGAAGATAATCTCCCCCTGCTTTTTCCTCTTCAGTTTGGACTCCAGTTTCTGGACAATGGTGACTTGAAACATCATTTACTTCCACCAGAAATCTTTCCGTTCACCTGGGGGAATAAGCTGAAAGTGAGTCTCCTTCAGGGCAGTGGCTCCAGCAGTCAGACCTAGAGACACCTGCACTTCATTCTCACCATTTCTTTCAGGGGCTAGACAGGAAGTCAGTTTCTTATTTTTGGACATCCCCTCTCTCTTTCTGTCTCCCTCGCGCTTTCTCTCACTCACTGCTTTTCTGAGATTTGAACTCGGGACATGGGGTTTGCTAGCCATAATATACCTCCAGCCCTTGATTTTCCTTTTATATTGGGAACCTGCAGACCAGTTCTAGAAAGATAACATATGATGTACATATTCTCCTGCCACTGTCCTTGGCAATGTTTCTAAATCCTCAAGAATCAGTCATTTTGTCAGGCCTTGCTGCAGGCAGCAAGGAGAAAGGGGTAAAGATGAAACTGGAAATTCATTCTGAAGCACACCTCCAGTGTTCTGAATGTTGATCAACAGCATTCTCCTTTTTGAATGAGCAAGAGGAGGAGACATGGCACAGGTCCAGCCAGACCCACGGGTGGCACTTCGCCGTGATGACTCACGCGTCCTGGAGCGGTCTTCCACCCTTGTGAAACTGGGTCTCTTGGCTGAAGGAAGAAACACTCTTCAGCACTGTCCGTCAGCTCCTCCGGGTGCACCTCTAGTAAGGTCTCCTTGGGTCAGATATTAGTCCACTCAGTCTTCAAGCTTTACTCCAGATGTGCTCACCATCTTACTCTGGCAGGCCTCGAGAGTGTTTGTGCAATCTTTGTTAGAATAACATCTGACAGTTTCAGATCTCCCCCAGGGAAATGAAGGTAAGTGCAATGACAACAGGTGTTCTCACATCCCCTCACTCCCCCCACAGCTCAGCGAGAGGCAGAGGATGGTGTCTTTTGTTCTGGCCTCCCACACTTTAGCCATCACTGGACTGTGTGTGCACATGTCTCTTGTCAAGCTGGCAGAGAAAATTGTCTGAGTGCCTGCCCATATACAAGAAAAAAGAGAATGAAGGCACTGCATTTTATTTGTTGTTTGCTGTTCCCCTCAACTCTGGATTCACAGCAATTCTATTACTTCTTAGAGGTTCTGAAGTTTTGTGTATATAAGAATATTCTGGAAGCTGGGGGCCAGTGGCAATCCTAGCTACTCAGGAGGCTGAGATCTGAGGATCACAGTTTGAACCAGCCTGGGGCAAGAAAGTCCATGAGACTTATCTCCAGTTAACTGCCACCCCACCCTCCACTCCCCACCCCCCAAAAAAGGCTAGAATTGGAGATGATTCAAGTGGTTAGAGTACTAGCCTTGAGCCCAAGAACTCAGGGACAGTGCCAAAGTCCTGAATTCAAGCCTCAGGAACAGCACAAAAGAGAAAGAGGGAGGAATGAGAGAGAAAGGAAGCAACGCAGATCAAAAAGAATAAAAATAAAAGAAGCCAGGCACCAGTGGCCATAAACCTAGCTATTCAGGAATCTTCGATCTGAGGGTCATAGTTCAAAGCCAGTCCATGAGACTCATCTCCAATTAACTACCAAAAAGCCAAAAGTGGAACTGTGGCTCAAAGTGCACTAGCCTACTGCACAAAAGGTCAGGGACAGCACCCAGGTCCTGAGTTCAAGCCCCAGGTCCAGCACACATACACAGAAATACTCTAGAGATTGGGAGACTGAGGCAGAAGGACCTATGTTCAAAGCCAGTCTGAGTTACATAGGGAGACTTTCTCAAAAGACAACAACAACAAAAAAAAAAAAAAACAGGTGTGATGGCACACACCTATAATTCTATCAATGCTGGGGCAGAAGAATTGTGAGTTCTACACATAACTGAGCCCCTGTCTTTAAAAATGAAAAAAAAAAAACCAAAGACAAAAAAAAAAAAAACAACTAGCCAGGCGCTGGTGGCTCACGCCTGTAATCCTAGCTACTCAGGAGGCTGAGATCTGAGGATCGCGGTTCAAAGCCAGCCCAGGCAGGAAAGACCGTGAGACTCCTATCTCCAATAAACCACCAGAAAACCGGAAGTGGCGCTGTAGCTCAAGTGGTAGAGCGCTCGCCTTGAGCTGAAGAGCTGAGGGACAGCGCCCAGGCCCAGAGTTCAAGCCCCACGACCGACAAAAAACAACGAAAACTCCTAGAGAAGTCATTTAAGCAGCATCTTCTCAGACCAGTAGGACCTAAGGAGACCCTTCATTCAGAATAAGCATCTTGCATATGATTCCCATAGAGATTTGTTCTATGCAGTGCACATAATTCTTATCATTCTTCCTGTCTTGTCTTTGTTCTACTTCGTTCCACAAAAATTGAGATAGTATTTGATGAACTAGCAAATAACCCAAGCGTCAGTATAAACAACAAGCCTTAACTAGTCAGGCTAGGGTGATGGTATTGGTTGGTTTCTTTTTGTGGTGCTGAGGTTGAACACTTGAGCTCTGCCCTCAGTCTTTTGGGGATATTTTGTTTGCTTGTTTTTGAGATAGTGTCTTGCTGATTTTTCCTGGTCCAGCCTCAAATTCATGATCCTCCTGCTTCTACCTCCTGAGTAGCTAGGTTTAGGAGCATGCGTCACCACACTCAGCTTAAAACTTGCAGTTTTTTTACAGAATTTTTTACAGTTTTTTAAACAGAATTCTGTTTATTCTATTTGATACATCAGAAATTCTAAATACCTAGTGAAAATATGTACAAATGCCTACAGCTTCTAAGAGGTCCTTCCCTTAGGTGTGTCCTAGAGGTGAGTGTATCTTCTACAAATCACTGACTGTGTACCATGGCTGTTATGTGGTAGTTGCTCCTGTTTTATAATCTTAGCCTCTTTGGCTAAGGACAGTGGGACAGAGACAAAAATGTTGCACGGTCCTGTTACTCTCTAAAAACACACTAAGTAGCAACGCTCAAAGCCACTGCCAAAGGTTAGATATATTGCTGCGCTAGACTGGCCTGGCTCATTTATACTAGGAGCAAATGTGAGGAGAGACCAAGGGCCCCTGCCAAGCTCTAGTGGCATAACTGACTGGCATTCTGGTGCCTCTGTGTGTGTGTGTGTGTGTGTGTGTCACAAGGTCTTGCTGTGCAGTTCAAGCTGTCCTTGAATGCACAGTCCTCCTGGCTCAGCCTCCCAAGTGAGGGGATTACAGGTGTGCACCACCACTTCCTGCACATTTGGATGCTTTCAGTGAGGTCCCCTGGGGCAGAAATGGTGTGAAAACTAAGGTACAGTTTAACAAAATGAATACCAAGAAGCTGGAGCTTGTGGTATGGAGGAAGGAATCAAGGAAAGGGTTAGACCAATGACAGAGGAAGGGTGGGAGGAGCGTGCAACATGGAGTTATAGATTTTACCTGCTTAGAACCTAATAATTAATGTCCTCTCCCGCATGAGGCATGTGACACTGTGCTGGGGGGAGGGGACTATGCGCTTATGGTGAAGTTAAAGATGAATGGGCACGGGGTGGGGGGGGGTGGCGGGGGATTGTACATTGTTGTAGTTACAGCAGCAGTGACTGTAGTTGAGTGTCATCGCAGCCTTATCTCTTCTCCAGCTGCTCCTATGGCAAGAAGTGTGGCCTTCATGAGGCCAGGAAGAGTTTCATGAGCCAAATAGAATTTTAGCGGCTTTTCAATTTAGTACTATTACTGCTTAGAATTACTGTTAGGATAGTAAGAATCTGTGGGTATTTTCCCCTTCCTATTTTTCTCTGCGTTCCAAATATGTATTCAATAGATACATGCTATTTTTAATCAGAAAATATTCTTTAAATAACTTACATTATAGGCATGGCTCTCATTGTTTTTTATAGTATTAGAGTTAGAACTTGAGGCTCAAGAATTAGGGGCTGGGAAGGTGGCTCAGTGGTAGAGTGCTTGCCTTGCATGCATGAGGCCCTGGGTTCAATTCCTCAGCACCACATAAGAAAAAAGAAAAAAGCCGGAAGTGGTGCTGTGGCTCAAGTGGTAGAGTGCTAGCCTTGAGCTGAGGAGCTGAGGGACAGTGCCCAGGCCCAGAGTTCAGGCCCCACAACCAGACCAAAAAAAAAGAATTGTTAACCTTAGCAGGTACTGGTGGCTCACACCTGTAATCCTGTCTTTTCAGAAGGCCGAGATCTGAGGACTGTGGTTCCAAGCCAGCCCTAGAAGACAAATCTGAGACTCCAGTTAACCAGCAAAAAGGGAAATGATAGAGCCAGGGATATCGGGGAGCTTAATAAGAGCTTAAGGCCCTGAGTTCATGCTCTGAGACCAACACACACACACACACACACACACACACTCTTGATTACCTATTTTTCATTTCAGTCTTGGCCTGATTATGAGGAGATCTATAAAAACATGATTGAAATTGCCATATTTTTAGACTTGCCACGTTTTCCAGACATAACTGAAGACTGCTACCTCCATCCCAACGTCTTGTGTATGAAATACTTAATGGAAGTCAATCTCCCTGGTAAGGAGTGGTGGACCTTGGGGTAGGGGGTGGCAGTGGGGGATTCTTCACCTTTGGGATTATGGTAAGCAGATAAGAAACCTTCCTTTCCAGTCACAGTCTACCATAGCTTGAAAGGGTCTAGAAGTAACCAGCTTCAATTCATAATACTGTCTGAAAATTAATTCAAATTACTTAAAATACATAAAGGGGCAGTGTTCCAAAATAAAGTTCTATTTTGGTGTAGAGAATATATGTAGCCTTTATAGCAAGTCTGAGCCAGGTGCCTGGGGCTCACTCCTGGAATCTTAGCTTCTCAGGAGGCTGAGATACAAGGGTCATGGCTCCAAGCCAGTCCAAGAAAGTCCCTGAGACTCTTTTCTCCAGTTAACCACCATTTGACAAAAAGCCAGAAGTAAAGCTGTGGCTCTAGTAGTAGAGCACCAGCTTTGATTGGAAAAAGCTAAGGGACAGTGCCCAGGCCTTGAATTCAAGCCTCAGTACTAGCACAAAAAGTAGATATAAAAAGTCTGCTGAGTACAAGCAAAGTCACAAATGTTTCAATATGAGTTATTCTCTTTTTCAATTAAACACTTTATTTGCGTGAAATATTATTACTGTATAATGAAGGTTAAAAAAAAAGAAAGAAAAACCCCAGTCTAGCATGGTGGCCCATGTTTGTAATCCCAGCTGGTTAAGAGACTGAGACCAGAAGATGGGCAGTTCAGGGCCAGCTTGGGCTACAGAGTGAGACCCTGTCTCAAAAGCAACAGCAACACCAGGCAACAGTGGCCCACGCCTGTAATCCTATCTATTCAGGAGGCTGAGATCTGAGCATCACAGTTCAAAACCAGCCCAGGTAGGAATGTCTGTGAGTTGCTTTCTCCAGAAAAAAACAGAAGTGGCTCACTGGCTCAAGTGGTAGAGTGCTCGCCTCAAGCAAAAAGCTTAAGAACAGTGCCCAGGCCCAGAGTTTAGGTCTTAGTAAGGCTGGCAAAAAAAAAAAAAACAGCAACAACAAAACTCCAGAAGGTGATGTATGATAGTTTTGTTGTTTAGTAACATTTACTGTTTCCAACTCTTTTTTTTTTTTTTAGGGGGGGGGGGTCCGGTCGTGGGGCCTGAACTCTGGACCTGGGCGCTGTCCCTCAGCTCTTCAGCTCCAGGCTAGCGCTCTACCACTTGAGCCACAGCACCACTTCTGGCTTTTTTCTTTTTGCTTATGTGGTTCTGAGGAATCGAACCCAGGGCCTCAGGCATGCAAGGCAAGTGCTCTACCACTGAGCTACCTTCCCAGCCCTGTTTCCAACTCTTAAAAGAAACAGAGGGCAAAGTCTGGTCAGATCCTACGTACCACGGGACAGCGGCAAGGACAGCCTTACCTGCCTCCTTCCAGAGCAACAAGACGAGGGCTGCAGGCAGGGCCCACTGCGGGAAGCCCCCCTAACCCCAGCCCTGCTAGACCAGAAATGGGAGGAGCTTTGTTTGTTTGTTTCTGTTTTGAGACATTTGCCCCTCACTGTGTGGTCCAGGCAGCTGGAACTAGGATCTGATCCAGCCTTAGTTTGAGAACTAAGATTACAGTTGTGCACCACCACACCCAACCTAGGACTTTCATTCCTAAAATGTAAACATGCTATGACTGCATCATTGCCTAAGCAATACCAAAAATATGCTTGAGTGTATTTTTATTATGTATGGGTGTGTGTGCACACACTCGTGTGCATGTATTTGTTTTTGAGACAAGAGTCTCTCTCTGTTGCCCAGATTGGTCTTGAACTTGTGGGCTCACGTGAGCCTCCTGCCTCTATCTCCAAAGTAGCTTTGTACCTCGTGTGTGCTTCCGCCTATCTAAAATGCATGGAAGTCAGGTGCAGTCCAGCAGCAGACAGATGAATTTTTAAAAGGGGAAGAGTCGGCTGCCTGTGTCTCACACTTGTAATCCTAGCTGCTCAGAAGGCTGAGATCTGAGACTCTTACCTCCAATTAACCACCAAAAAGCTAGAAGTGGAGCTATGGCTCTAGTGATAGAGTGCCAACCTTGAGCAAAAAGCTCAATAACAGTGCCTATGACTGACACAAAGAAAATGAGGGAGAGTTGTGTATTTGGAATTTTTTCAAGAGCTCTAAAAGTGGTTTTAAGCATGTGAGAGCAACAGATACCCTTCCTTAGTGCCTTTCATTGTTTTGATTTTTTATTTGAGACAGGCTCTCACTAAGTAGCCCAGACCATGAACTCATCATCTTCCTGTCTACCAAGCACTGGAATTTTGGACATTTGCCACCATACCTGGCTCCTCAGTGCTTTTTTTGTTTGCTTTTTGTTTGGTTGCTCTTGGGGCTTGAACTCAGGACCTGGGCCCTGTCTCTGAGCTTTTTCATGGAAGGCTAGTGCTCAGTCACAGTGACCCACCAGGCCACTTCCAGTTTTCTGGAGAAAAGAGTCCAATGGACTTTCCTACCTGGGCTGGTTTTGAACTGCGATCCTCAGATCTCTACCTTCTGAGTAGCTAGGATTACAGGTGTGAGCCACCAGCACCCAGCTTCTTCAGTGATTTTTAAATGTGACCAGAAAGCCTCAGCAATTCTGCCACACACAGTTTTGCAGGCCCTTTGACAACTGGGAATGAGCCGGTGTGGTGCTTCATGTGGACGCTAGCAGGTCTGCACAGTAGAGTTTCTGGGAATGAGCCGGTGTGGTGCTTCATGTGGACGCTAGCAGGTCTGCACAGTAGAGTTTCTGGGCACTTTCACAAATATATGTCATTTCTAGAGGCCTTTGGGATTTCCAGAGTGCCCCCCACATCTCTCCTCTGTAAAGGGAGGGAGGGAAGGCAGGTAGGGGCCTTCATTAATACTTGAGAACTTGAGAGACTCAGAAACTCAGGTGGTCAGAAGCAGAGAAGGTTCTGACACCACATCTTCTGCCCCACACTGGGCTCTCCCCACACCCAGCTCTGTTCCTCCTGCTTCTGCCACTTCTGCTTTATTCTACTTGTGCTTTTGGTACAAGAGGAGCAGTATAAAATATAAGATCTAGAAAAAACTAGAAACTTATGTGTAACTAAACCCCGAGCTCCCGAGGAAAAGGGCTATCTCTAGGTCAAGTACCCAGAGCATAGTAGTTGTTGAAGAATGAAGAACTCTTAGGTAAGAACTTTAGCTAAGTTATTAGACTGTAATAGACATATAAGATAATTTGATGCCATGTTTTCAAAGGTACTATTATATGTGTTTCATTTCTGTGTGAGCAAAGCACATTTTTTTTTTTGGTCGGTCCTGGGGCTTGAACTCTGGGCCTGGGCGCTGTCCCTCAGCTCTTCAGCTCAACGTGAGCGCTCTACCACTTGAGCTACAGCACCACTTCCGGTTTTCTGGTGGTTTATTGGAGATAGGAGTCTCACGGTCTTTCCTGCCTGGGCTGGCTTTGAACCGTGATCCTCAGATCTCAGCCTCCTGAGTAGCTAGGATTACAGGCGTGAGCCACCAGTGCCCGGCCATTTTTAATTATTTATTTTTGTCGGTCATGGGCTTGAACTCTGGGCCTGGGTGCTGTCCCTCAGCTCTTCAGCTCAAGGCTAGCGCTCTACCACTTGAGCCACAGCGCTACTTCTGGTTTTTTGGTGGTTTATTGGAGATAGTATCTCACAGAGTTTCCTGCCCAGGCTGGCTTTGAACCATGATCCTCAGATCTCAGTCTCCTGAGTAGCTAGGATTACAGTCGTAAGCCCCTGGCACCCGGCTAGATTTTAATTTTTATTTACTTGTTTTTGCATTCCTGGGAATTAAACCAAAGTCTTAGCATGCTAGTTCAGCGCTTTTGTCACTGAGCTCCCTTCCCAGATCTGATCAGTGAAGTTTTACTCAAATATCTTAAGGAGGAAACTTGCTTCCTAGTAGACTCATCCTTTACCATAAACGTGCAGTGAACACCAGTTTTGTGTATGTTGATGCATTTGGGAAGATGCGGCAAGACTGGCTCATTCTCAGGTTTAAGACAGAGACAAATAATATGCTCTTGAGGTGCTGAGAGCCTGGGAGAGTGTGTTCGCGCTCACAAGTGGCTCATCCAAGGAGCCTGCTGCTGTCACACTGGTGTGCTTAGAAGAAGGAATTGGTATAGCCAAGATCTGTGCTGTACGTATCGATCAGACCAGCAGAGCTTGATATGAGGAATGGGGAAAAGAAACTTTCTAGACAAAGAAGCAAAAGTGTCTGTGCAGAACAGAAAGTGTGAGTGGCTTTGATGTAACAGGGCTAGAGCTACAAGTTTTCGTGGGTTGATGAGAAAAGGAGAATGAGATGATTGGACCACAGCAGAGTCAGACCTGAAAAGAGAAGGCCAGTTATAGGGTGAGCCAAGGAGCAGCAGTAGAGGAGAAAAGGAGATAGGGTTGGCAGAACTTGGAGTACCTTAGGGACGTTAACTCATGTAGTCTTCCTAATAGATATCATCCATACTGTTGTCATTCTTGCTTTATGCCGGTGGAGGGGGAAGATGATGTATCATGCCCAAGACCACAGAGCTAGTAAGGGATGAGCAGGCCTCCAGACCATGCAGCATGGTTCTGCTGGCATGGCACACTCCAGTCCATGGAGGCAATAGTAGCCAGTAGCACTGCTGATTGAATGCACACCACAGGCCTGGGTCAGTTCCATGCAGTGCCTTAGGTTTTTGTAAGCTTTTGTTATACTTCAATTTGAGTGGGATGCAGTGTGTCTTGCATACTTAGGTTAGTTAAAAAGTTGTTGTGTTGGGGCTGGGAAGGTGGCTCATTGATAGAGTGCTTGCCTTGCATGCGTGAGGCCCTGGGTTTGATTCCTCAGCACCACATAAGCAAAAAGAAAAAAGC